GTCCTGGGCTGGTCAGGGGGCGGAGCCAAGGCAGGAGGCTGGGGTGGAGTCAAGGCAGGGCAGGGGGCGGGGTCACAGCAGGAGGGAAGGGGGCGGAGTCACAGCAGGAGGCTGGGGTGGAGTCAAGGCAGGCCAGAGGGCGGAGTCAAGGCTGGAGAGTAGGGGGCGGAGTCAAGGCAGCCCAGGGGGCGGAGTCACAGCTAGAGAGTAAGGGGCGGAGCCAATGCAGCCCAGGGGGCGGAGTCACGGCTAGAGAGTAAGGGGCGGAGCCAATGCAGCCTAGGGGGCGGAGTCACAGCTAGAGAGTAAGGGGCGGAGTCAAGGCAGCCCAGGGGGCGGAGTCAAGGCTGGAGAGTAGGGGGCGGAGTCAAGGCAGCCCAGGGGGCGGAGTCACAGCTAGAGAGTAGGGGGGCGGAGTCAAGGCAGCCCAGGGGGCGGAGTCACAGCTAGCGAGTAAGGGGCGGAGTCAGTGCAGCCCAGGGGGCGGAGTCAAGGCTGGCGAGTAAGGGGCGGAGTCAAGGCAGCCCAGGGGGCGGAGCCTTGGCCGGGGGCGTGGCCGGGCCCGGGTGCGGAGGCGCAAGCCGGAGGCTCAGCGCGTGCGAAGGCCCTGAGGCCGCCGGGCGCGGCCGGGTCGGGGCGCGGGGGGACACTGAGGCGCGGGCGCCCGGCTGAGCGCGTCTGTCCCGCAGCTGCCTGTCGTGCGTGGACGGCTCCTTCCCCTGCCACTGGTGCAAGTTCCGGCACGTGTGCACGCACAACGCCGCCGACTGCGCCTTCCTGGAGGGCCGCGTCAACGCGTCCGAGGTGAGGCCGGCGAGGCTGGGGGAGGCCGCGCAGCCTCCTGGGGGGGGTGGAGTCACCCGGGCCCGGCCTGGACACGCCCCGCCGTGTCGCGTCCACACCCGGGGCCCATCCGTCCGCAGGACCCGGGCCCTGTGGGGTCAGGGCCGCCTCTCTGGGCTGTGGAGGCCCGGCAGGGAGGCCGGGGGTCTCCCTCGCGCCTCAGTTGCAGAGGCGGAGCCCCAAAGCCGGTGCGTGCGACGGAGGCACGGGCGGTGACACAGGGCGGGTGGCCGGGGACAGGGGACCCATCGCTCAGTTTGTCACATGGAGCCCGGGAGGCCAGGGGGTGAGGCCCAGCGGGGAGGCCATGGGACATTTTGGAGTCCGGGATGGTAGAAAGCGAGCAGGGTGCGGCTGGGATACAGGGGAGAGGCTGTTCCCTGTGGTCCAGGGGTTTTTCTGATGGGGCTTTGCGGGATGTATAGGAGTCCGGGATCGTAGGAAACAGGCCAGGGTTCGCTGGGATACAGAGAAGAGGCTGTCCCCTGTGGTCCAGGGGTTTTTCTGATGGGGTTTTGCAGGATGCCTACGAGTCTGTGATCATAGAAAGCAGGCCAGCGTGTGCTGGGACCACAGCGTAGAGGCCGCCCTCTGTAGCCCAGGGGTTTTCAGATGGGGCTTTGCGGGATGCCTAGGAGTCCGGGATCGTCGAAAACAGGCCAGGGCACGCTGGGATACAAAGGAGAGGTTGTTCCCTGTGGTTCACGGGTTTTTCACATGGGGCTTTGTGGGATGTATAGGAGTCCGGGATCATAGAAAACAGGCCAGGGCGCGCTGGGATACAGAAGAAACACTGTCCCCTGTGGTCCAGGGGTTTTTCAGATGGGGCTTTGCGGGATGCCTACGAGTCCGGGATGGTAGAAAACAAGCCAGGGTGTGCTGGAACCACAGAGGAGAGGCTGTTTGCTTTGGTCCATTGGTTTTTCAGATTGGGCTTTGCAGGATGTGTAGGAGTCCGGGATTGTAGAAAATGAGCAGGGTGCGCTGGGATACAGACAAGCGGCTGTCCCCTGTGGTCCAGGGGTTTTTCCGGTGGGGCTTTGTGGGATGTATAGGAGTCCGGGATCATAGAAAATGGGCCAGGGTCGCTGGGGTACAAGGGAGACACTGGGATACAGACGAGCGGCTGTCCCCCGTGGTCCAGGCGTTTTTCAGATGGGGCTTTGTGGGATGTATAGGAGCCCGGGATCATACAAAAAGGCCAGGGCGCGCTGGGAACACAAGGGAGAGGCTGTCTGCTGTGGTCCAGGGGTTTTTCAGACGGGGTTTTGTGAGATGTATAGGAGTCTGGGATTCTGGAAAACGAGCATGTGAGCTGGGTTACAGGGGAGAGGCTGTCCGCTGTGGTCCAGGGGCTTTGCGGGATGCCTACGAGTCCGGGATCGTAGAAAACAAGCCAGGGTGTGCTGGAACCACAGAGGAGAGGCTGTTTGCTTTGGTCCA